ATTAAAGAGCAAACTGCCTGTATAGGTTTCAACTGGGGTTTCTCAGTGGGGAAGACCACCTTCTCCTCACAGAACAGCTGTGCCTGTGCATGTCCCTGAGGGGAGCAGTAACCACTCAGGTGTGCTGTACTCTCTGTGGTAGATTCTTCTGATTTAATGATCTTCCTCTTTCTTGTCACCTTTCCTGTCCTTTGTCTTGCGTGGACTAATCAACGCTCTTTGTCACGACTATGAAACGATCTTGTGTGTTCCCTTGTCACTGTGACTTCTGGTTTTCTGTGACCCTTTGTTTCCTGGTGTTGGTCGTCATGTGCATCCTCCAGGCTAGCGTTGGATGACGCCATTCGACACAAGCAGCTGAACATATCATCCCGTTTTTCACCCAGGGTGGCAGGGGAGAATGATTTCCTTCAGACTGTTATAAACAAAGTGATTGCTGCTAAAGAAGTCAACCACAAGGGTCAGGGTAGGTACTGCTCTTTCTATCCACCCCTGGGCCTGAAACTGCTTGACTTGAAATGTGTGATCATAGTGTATTAAGAGGTTGGGATGGAGCTTAGAGATCATCCAGCCCCAACCCCTGCCCTGGGCAGGGACACCTCCCACCAGAGCAGGTTGCTCAAGGCTCATCCAACCTGGCTGTGAACACTGCCAGGGGTGGGGCAGCCACCGCTTCCGTGGGCAACCTGGGACAGTGTCTCACCAAATGGAATAAAAGGACACTACAGGGTAAAAGGAATAAAGATCACGGGCACTGCAGAGACTAATATCAACAGTGTTTAAATGAAGTCTGTAGAAGGTAATGTAGTTTTTATTGACATCACAACAAGCCAAACTATTTCTGGTTTAATGTTTATGTTAACTTTGTCATTATTAAAGAGAGACAAACCCTCCTTCCCAGGTGTCTGGCACAGGATATTTGAAAGCCATAACTGCTGTTGTGCAGAAGAAGAAACACCAAAAAAAATTCTAAAATCATAGGATTTTTAAGGGTTGCAATGGACCTTAGAGATGATCCAGCCCCAACCCCTGCCCTGGGCAGGGACACCTTCCACCAGAGCAGGTTGCTCAAGGCTTCATCCAACCTGGCTTTGAGCATTGGCAGTGCAGGTAGAGTTGCTGCTCAGTGCAGTAGCAGCTGTCAGAACCATCCCTGGCAACAAATCAGCACAGAGACTTTTTTATAGCAACCTTGTGGTAAAGGCACCAAGTTTCCAACTCCATCCAGGATGGGTGTACAGTTAATTGTGTGTGTAACAGGACAAACCACAATTTGGTTCATAGATATGTATTTTTGGGGGTATTTTTTCTAGATTTTACTGTCAGGATTTTCCTCTGCAAATTGCTGCTGGGATTGTTTTGTGCTTAGACTTGATTGCCAGTCACTAAACTGTGTAGAAGACTTTTTTCGGGTTGAGTTTCTTTATTTTTATAGGGTGGGTTTTTTCCACTTTGGCATCTTTCTTTTTCCTGGAACAAGTGTGCCTGATGTTGGTTGGCAAGCAACAGCTTTTTAGTGGCTTTTTCTCCTACTGAACAGAAAAATATCAGCTATATGAAGCTGGTGCTGGAGATATCTGTGCTCAGAGCAGTAAAAATAACTTATGGGGGTGCTGGAGATTAAGTATGGGGTATGTATCTCCTGGTGGTGTTGGCTGGTTGTGATACTTAGCTTTGTCCATGCAAATCAGTGTTGCCACTTCTCTTTTTTCCTGTGGAAGATCAGCATTTCATTGGAAAGAACCTAGAAAGAACTAGGGTGAGTTCAAAGGGTAGATAGAGGCTTGAGGCACTTCTGCTAGTGGCTAAATAACTGTATGGCCATGAGTGGGACAGATGAGAGCAATCTGGTCCTCTGAGGAGGAGGAGGATTTCTTCCCGGGCTTCGTGCTGAGGGCACAGGAGACTTCCTTGAGTTTTCACAGTCCAGATTTCACAGAATCGCGGAATATTCTCAGTTGGAAGGGAGCCTTGAGGATCATCTAGTCCAGATCTTGGTCCTGCAGAGACACCCTGTGCCTGAGTGTGTTGTCCAAACACTCCCTGAGCTCTGTCAGCCTTGGGGCTGTGTCCACTGCCCTGGGGAGCTGTTCAGTGCCTAAACACCTCTGGGGGAAGAACCTTGTCCTGATATCCAACCTAACCCTCCCCTGACACAACTTCAGGCCATTGCCTTGGGTCCTGTCACTGGTCCCAGAGAGCAGAGCTCAGAGCTGGCTCTGCACTGCCCCTGGGATGAGGTTGTGTGCATTGATGAGGTCTCTCCTCAGTCTCCTCCAGCTGAACAGACCAAGTGTCTCAGCCACTCCTCTCATGGCTTCCCCTCAAGGCCCTTCACTATCTTCATTGCCATCTTCATTTCAGCTGGTCCAGCTGGAAACCAAGTGTTTCCTTCTTCCTGCCTGTTGAATGGTTTTGCTAACCTGTTCCTCTGCTGAAGGGAGACCTGTTGTATTCACATTTTTGAACTGTGGATCAAATTCTTGGCTTGAGGAAGCTCATGTGAGAGAAGGCACAGGCTTCTGGGTTGGAACACCTACCTGACTCCTCCTAAGATGCTTTCTAGAGGGCTCCCCTCCAAAGTCCACAAGACAAAGGCTTGAATCCTTACCTTGCACAGATTTCCAGTTTCCCAGGCTTTTTATTAGTGAGTTTCCTGGTGAAGATCATCATAGAATCCCAGACTGGTTTGGGTTGGAGAGGACCTTAATGCTCATTTCATTTCAACCCCTGCCATGGGTCGGAACACCTTCCACTAGCCCAGGTTGCTCAGGAATTAAGAATTTTCCAGAAAGTTGTTCATAATCAGACATACCTATGTGTGTTCTGCTCATATGGCTGCTAGAAGTGGTGGAATTTTATGAATGTTTTAATATCCTTTGTATTTGTTGTGAATAAAGGTCAGTTCTCTTATTTATTTTAATGCTCTTCCATTTTTGTGTGTAAAAGGAAATCTTTAGTCACTAGGAATTAACCTCCACTAGCTTCATCATTGTGCTTTTGTACACAACAGGTTTGTGGGTGACTCTGAAACTTCTTCCAGGAGATATCCATCAGATTAGAAAAGAGTTTCCACACTTAGTGGATAGGTCAACAGCTGTGGCTCGGAAAATGGGCTTTCCTGAGATTATCATGCCTGGTAAGCCACGGTGGGGATTAATGCTAAGTATTGTGTGAATTAATGCTGATTTGTTAGGTTTTAACCTGCTGTAACTGTCTGTATATGTGGGAGGTTTGGGGAGGAAGAAAAAGGATGAATGTGAGGTGTGGTATAAGTGAAACAAAATGGATTATCAAAGGGTTTTGTCTTATTGAAAACAGAAGTAAAATAATTTGTAATACCTGTCAGATGTGCTGCAGCTACAAATAAAGCAACAGCCTTTCCAAAAAGACATGAAATCCCAATGGCAGTGGAAGTTCTCCTCTTTTTTTTCCAGTGAAGAAAACTTACCCAAAGTACTCACTTCCTATTATCTGCACAGCAAGGGCATATGTAAAACTTCTCTCTGGTGATGAATCCAAACCAGAAAGGTTTTTCAGAGGAACAGGCTTGATTTAGAGATATGCAAAGTCTCTCAGGGTTTGTGCTGGATTTGGATAGTGGATTTGAAAGCCACATCATCTTTTTTTAATACATAGATTCTGGGGATGTTCAATTCAGGTGTTTGCTAAAAAAAAAAAAATCCCATCCCAAAAAGGTTGTGCTTCTCAAAATAAAACTGCCATAAACAAGAGCACAACCCTGCACTGCCCTTTCCAGCTTGTTGGGCTCTGGAGGATCCATTCGATGTTCCCAGAGCCCATTCTGGTTCCAGGTCTCCCTGTGGTTGCTGGCAGATGTTTGTCAGCTGTTTTACTCTCAATCAGCATGGTGTAAGTGCCTCAGCACCTTGTTTTGCTCATCTGTTGGCACATAAACCATCTGCCTCATGAAATTATTGGAAGTCCCTTGGTTCCCCAGTTCGGCTTCAACATTCCAGTTGAATTGGGTGGAGCTGGCTGAAGAGCATATTAAGGCCTAAAGCTACATACAACTCTCCCCTGCAGCCCCCAAGCCAGTGAAAACATCAACCACTTCCCAATGTAACAGGTTAAACAGCTCTTTGTAGGCTCTTAGGTGATTTTCAATTGCAAAATATCTGTTTGTGCGGTAAGTTAATGACTATGTTGAAACTCGGAATGAAAGGAGTTGTGTAAAATAAAAGAAGTGGAACTGTGGTGGATTAAGTGCTTTGCCAGGTCTGAGTTTGGTTGGTGATTGTCTCTGTGTGTTGCTGGATTCACAGATCAAAGGGTTTACTGAGGAAATGGTGAATTTCTTTGTGCTTTGCTTGTCCTTTCAGGTGATGTTCGTAATGACATCTATGTCACCTTGGTTCAGGGAGACTTTGACAAAGGCAGTAAAACAACAGCAAAGAATGTGGAAGTTACAGTGTCAGTTTATGATGAAGATGGCAAGAGATTAGAGGTATCCAAGCATCTGATGTCTGTGTGGTCTTGATGTTGATGCATATCTGGTTAAGCCTTTTCAACATCCTTTTCTGTGTTTGTCAACTGAAGTTTCAAGTTTTAGTTTCATCCAAAATTTCTCCTGTTAGAGGATACCTCTTACCATATCAGTGCATGTCCTTTGATACTGATTTCATGGGGAGCTCTGAGCATGAGCCATTCTGTCTTTTGACCTACTTCCCTGCTTCATTTTTGTTGATTTGAATGAAAAAGAGGAGTTTGCAGGAGACATAAACACCTTCTCTTCTGTTTGTGCTTTGCAGAGTGTTATTTTCCCTGGTGCTGGGGACGAAGCCATCTCAGAGTACAAGTCAGTGATCTATTACCAAGTGAAGCAGCCTCGCTGGTTTGAGACTGTGAAGGTACATAAACTGGGAAAACAGCTTCCTCTGTGGGTTAATATGCAATTAAGAGAGGTTTGAGTGGAAAGCCTTGAGAAACAAACCTAGGGAGAGTCAGTGCTCGTGGTAGAGTTTAGCAGGACAGAAGGAATAGCTCAGCTAAGGAAAGCTTTGACTTGTATTGCATATTGGTTTTTATTTCATCCCTGTGGTTGAGGTGACTGCAGTGGGGACACTCCAGCAGCATCAGTTGAGGAATGGTTTGCTCTATTTCCAGGCAGCTGACCTAGAGGAGCAGGACATTAAGGTTAAAACATACTTGCCACAGTGTTGAACTCATCAGTGGTTTGGATCTGGCTGATGGTGCTTTAAAGTTGCTCATTTTGCTTTGGTAATGACCTTTTCACTGAAATGCCAAGTTTTAATATCACAGAGGCTGCTGTTGGCTTTATAAAACACTGTGACTAGCTGTAGTGTCTGTGTGCAGACACTACAGCTCCTCACACTTTTTCTGAGCCCAGAGGTGCTCGTGTTGCACCACAGACATGGAGTGGCTGTGGGGACTGGCAGAAACTCCATGGGCAAATGCCAGACACTTTGCTGAAGGACGTGGAGATGAGGTTTGGTGGTGGCTGATGATGTCTGAAGGTTCTGTACTGACTCTTTCCTTCTCCATCTTCTCCCCAATGTGTGAAGGTTGCAATCCCCATCGAAGATGTGAACCGCAGTCATTTGAGGTTCACCTTCCGTCACAGATCATCACAGGACTGTGAGTAATTAGCCCTTTCATGATGGTTCTTGTCCATCCTTGGTGCCAAAATCCCCTCAAACATAGCCATAATGTTCCCAGTCTGTCACTTGTAATTACTTTTAGTGCAGGATTAATCTCTTGGCTTATTTAATGTTACATCTCAACTTCCTTTTCCCTTTACACCCTCCTTACTCTTACCTATCCACATCAAGTTTTTCCTCTCCTGCCCTATTTTTTTCTCCCAAGTCAAGTGAAAGGGAATAAATGGAGTTTATTATTGGGTTACTAATAATGGAAGAAATAATAGTAAGTAAATAACGGAGTAAAGCTTTCCATCAGGAGCTCACAGGGTTGTGGTGTTATGTCTCTTAGAGGTAGTGGATAAGGAGGAGTGAAGATACTTCACAACCTCAAGTATGAAATGGGAATGGGAAAGAGCTTACAGTTGGCTTAGCATCAGAAATTGAAGACTTTGGCATTTAGAAACTTGATTAATAAAAGATGTTCTGAGTTTAGAAAATGATAATTGCTAAGGAAAACAGTGTGCTGAAAATCAGTGTCATTAGGGTCAAAATGAGGATTGTGTCCTACGAATTAGTAGAGTCAGAAGTGTTTTTATGGTGACTTAAATCCTTAGGTTAGTCCTGGCCTAAGTATTGCCAAGAGGCTGTTCCTGAGGGCTGCAGGGCTGTCTCACAGGCTCCTTGGGCTGTCTCAGGTTGATTGCACTTTGCTTCTGCTTTTGCTTCTCAATTAAGTGATCTCCACTTGCCCTGTGGCTTTGTTTTCATTTAACCTTTGACAGTTGACTTTGAACAAGAGCAAACTGGGTGGATTTTCTAGTTCATATTGGCTGTGGAGTGGGTCAGCTTGCAGAAACTCAGGTGTTTATCTCTAGGTGTGGACCCAGTTTCTGTTTTGCTGCTGTTTTGCAGGTTATCCATGTTTTGGAGATTTAGGTGTATGGAAGTATCAAATACTGGTGGTGATTTGTTTTTTGTTTTTGTTTTTTTTTTCCCCCTTAACAGCCAAAGATAAATCTGAGAAAATCTTTGCCTTGGCATTTGTGAAGCTCATGAGATACGACGGAACAACTTTGAGAGATGGAGAACATGACCTTATAGTATACAAGGTAGAATTTTGGCTTTCCAGAGCAGCTGACTCCACTGTGTGACTTCTGTCCTGGAATTACACAGAAAAATCTGTTCTAGACTGTTTTGTTAGATCAGGCAACTAAACAGAAAATCCTGTGCAGTTTTTGGATGTGGCAGATTGAGTGTTAAACCTTCAATGTGTTTTGCTATGGATGTCTTAATTTCTAAGGTGCTTTTTGACTTCTGGGTGTGTTGGTAGAAGTTACTTCTGTAGCTCTTTTAAACGTCACATTTTGTCTGTAATCTGTGGACAGATTGGTGCTAAATGACTATTGTTAAAGACTCTTTAGGTAGCTCCAGACCTAAGGAAATCAGTGTCAATATTAGAATTTTATTATTACCAAGGTTTTTACTAGATATTTCCTCATATTGTTTTTAAAACATCTCTGTAGGCAGAAGCAAAGAAGCTGGAGGATGCCTCGACCTATCTGAGTCTGCCATCGACTAAAATAGAGCTCGAGGAGAAGGGACACTCAGCCACAGGGAAGAGCATGCAGAACCTTGGAAGCTGCACCATCAGCAAAGACTCTTTCCAGATCTCTACTCTGGTTTGTTCAACAAAACTTACCCAGAATGGTGAGTTCATAGAAGTGCTGGAGCATCTGCTCCTCACAGCAGGAGTTGGGTCCTGGGCACTGATTTTCCTGCCTTCTCTATCCTGGATTGTGGTTGTTTGCCGTGAAGTCTTGGATTCAATTGTCTGGATGCAGCAAAAGCATTTCCTGAGCTTGTGAGCTCTCCAGGCTTTTCTCTGCCCATGGGCTTTGCTTTAGAGCAGTGCATGTCTCTGGGAAAAGAATCTCAAGTTAAACTGGAAACAGGGATATTGTTTGCCAGACAGTTGTGGTATTTATACTCAAGTGTACTGAAAACAGACTCTGTGGTGTTTTAGCTCTCCTTGGGCATGAATAACAGCACTAAGGAAGAGGATGAGTTTGCTTTCAAGAGTAGGTAATATCACAGCTCTGCTCCCGAGTAAGCTGTTCCATGTGATTTCCAAGGTGCAATATCCATATCTTACACCTGAAGAGAGCTCTGATGTTTCCCTCTGCTGTGCAGAAGAGCTGTGAGCATGAGGATGTGCTGCATGGAGGCTACTCTTCTGTTCACACAGCTCCCCATTGAGCACAGAGCACCAGTTGGCAAATTCTGTTCCTTTTCAGACTTGCCTTGTGTACGTTTTCCCTGTGCATTTGTCACTGGCTGACTGCATCTGAGGGCTGTGGAAAGCAGAGCTGGTGGCAGCCACCAAAGCAAATATTTCACATTTCCAGACTGCCCTCTCTGTAATTTTTGTGCTTGGTTGCCATGGAGCAATCCCTTGTTCTCCTGGCTGCACCAGCAGCAGACTGGGGAGTGTGGGTGGGTCATTGAGCTGGGAGTGAGTCATGCCAGGGAAGAACATCAACATCATTTGGTGTGACTCAGGAGAGGGGAGAGCTCCATCCTCACCGAGCTGTTGGGAGTCAGGGATGTGCATGAGGAAGGTTTGGGATGGGGGGTGTGTGGGAAGCCTGATGAGACTGCCACATTAATGTGTTCTGCTCTGTCCAGGGGGAATGTCACTACTGTGGTACAACTTGTAGAGTTGATTGTGGTGTTTCCCTGTGGTCTCTGTTGGAGCACAGAGAGGTGTTTCAGACTCAGCACATCAGAGTCACTGCAGCCTGGCAGGCTTGGAGCCTCACAGGGTGCTTAGCAAAGAATTTGGGTATAGGGATTTTCTGGCAGAGATGGGATCATGGCTCAGCAGCAGCACAGTGGGGTTGGGGTGTAGCATGCCAGAACCAGCAGATGGGATTGAGCTGTTGGTTTGGGATACTAGTGGTGTTGTTCCCCTCAGCCTTTACTAGCGCTTGTTGGAAGCATTTCTGGAGAAATGGGGAGAGGCTGAGGGAACTGGGAGTGTTTAACCTGGAGAAGAGAAGGCTCAGGGGTGACCTTATCACTCTCTACAGCTATGTGAAAGGAGATTGCAGCCAGGTGGGAGTCAGGCGCTGCTCCCAGGGAACAAGAGACAGGATGAGAGGACATAGCCTCCAGCTGCACCAGGAGAGGTTTAGGTTAGACATTAGGAAGAATTTCTTCCCGCAAAAGGTGATAAGACACTGGAATGTGCTGCCCAGGGAGGTGATGGAGTCACCACCCTTGGAAGCGTTTAGGGACAGACTGGACGTGGCACTTAGTGCCATGGTCTAGTTGACAACTAGTGTTAGGTCACAGATTGGACTCAGTGATCTCAAAGACCTTTCCCAACCTGATTGATTCTGTGATAGTGATCAATATATTGACATTGCTTTCACAGAACTATTACTAAAATTAAAACATACTAATTACACATAATTTGCTTTGAACATCTGATATTTATTTGATGTTGCTGTTAATTATGTTGTCTGTGAAACTTTTTCTTGAAGTTGTCAGTCTCTTCTCTTTCTTCCAAGTATTGTGACATTGCTGAGCAGGATCACCATATGTCCATAAGCAGTTTAGAAGAGAAACAAACCGAAAAAATCATCATTAAATTCCACCCTCGAGTATCAGTTTTCATCTAGAACTTGGCAGTGTTGCTCAGATGATCATTTCTGAAGCTGATTTTAAGTTCTATAAACTGTTGATTAATATTCTTCCTTTAACTTCCTTAAAAATAAGTCAAAACCCATTTATTATCCTCATTTCCCAAAATGCTGAGCCAAAACACAATTTTTCTTCTTTTGCTCATCTCTAATAGTTCTGTCTCTACCCTCTGTAAGTATCTTGGAATTGGCTTTAAGGCTTAGATTTAGTAATTCTGAAAGAATGTGAATAAATCCTGGGGTTTTCCTGCAGTGTGTGGTGGTGCAGAGAGTAACTTTTTGCACCTAAGCTCTTTGAGCACTCACTTGACCTCAGTTCTCTGTGAACTCTAAGTTATTGTTGCTTTTCTGTTAGGAACCCATGTCCTTTAGATGGAAAAGTCTCCAAGACCCCAACTTGACCACTGGTAAAGCTTCAGCTTCTGTTAGAGCGATAGTGTGAAGCATCTACTCAGCTAACACTTGAGCAGTTGGTGGTGATTTGGGGCAGAATCTGTTAGAGCAGCACTTTTCATGGCCTTTTCCTGGAGTTTGCAGGGAATTCTGAGGAAGAGCAGCTGGAAACAAGCCAAACCCCCCAATGCTTGTGGAAGTAAATCCTGCTAGTGCCTCTTACAGGGCGATCAGGATGGATGTCCTTTTATCATCAGGGGGTGGGAACAGAACTGAAATGAATGGACTTGTTGGAAGAATGTCCTGCTTACCAGCAGACACCTGTCTGGTGCTCTACCCATGGATTTGCTGTTGGGAATCATCCAGGGTAGCTCTGAGTCTTATTCAGAGAATTTCTGTTTTTTCTTTTCCGCCTGAAGGGCTCAAATCCTTAGATGATATGAGTTGTTACTTGTCTGGAGTCAAGGCTTGGAGGAACCAAGGCTTTTGGGAGACAGCTGAGAGGAGTTTGACTTAGTCAGTCAGCACAATTGAGAATTAGAGCAAGAAGCAACACAGTATGATAAATTCAGGTGCTATAGTGGCATAAAAAGTAGAAGTAAGTACAGAATTAATAGACAACAAGTCATAAAGACTGAAAAAACCCAACCTAAAGTCAAGAAGGAAGAGAATTTCAAAGAAAATCTTCCTATGGAGTCTATATAGTCATAAATTGCACTAACCCAAAGGAAGCAAAGTTGCTGTTGCTTGGCAGTACCCAACAGGATGTTTAGATGTTGTCTGGAGGTTTGTTTGAACCCTTTGCAGTTGGAAATGACCGGATGGTTTGGGTTGGAAGGACCTTAAAGCTCATCCAGCCCCACCCCCTGCCGTGGGCAGGAACACCTCCCACCAGCCCAGGTTGCTCCAAGCCCCATCCAGCCTGTTCTGGAACACTCACAGGGATGGGAATCCACAACCTCTCTGGGCAACTTCTGTTTTCTTCCTGATGTTTTCTGATCACACAGATCTCACTTGACCCAGGCTGACCACACTGTTCCTATGTACTGCGAGCTGAAACACTGTTTTACATTCTTTTAGTGAATTATTTTCCACAGACCTATGAGAAGCTTGGGATTAACTGACTGAGGTTAATCCTTGCAGGAACACAGTGAATGCCCATTTTTATGTGTACACTCACTTTATTTTTCTGGGCTGCATTGACATTTTCTGCTCACATCTGTATATTCATTTAGCATTTGCTCTGCCATCACGCTGGGAGTACACGTGGGTTTGTTTTCTTGGGGCAATCCATGATGCTGTTGGAGATGGTTTGTGCTCTGCCTTTTGTTCACATCATCTCTTCTGTCAAGCTGATGCCTTGTTAGAAGTCAGACTGGGGCCAAATTCCGTGGTGGAAAGCTGATATAAATACATTCATGAAACACTTTGGATAACTCATGGAGGCATCTTTGCTTTGCTTCCAGAAGCAATTTGGCTGTTAATGTTGAGTTTCTAAGACTTTTTGGGCTCAGGCTATAGAATTCTTGTAGAATATATTAAAATAAATGGAGGGCTTGGATTGTTCAAAGCTTAAATATACTAAAACACTGTGTTTCTACTCCCGAAGAGGTGATGAGAAGGCTTGGTTTGAGTGCAGCTCAGTGGGGAATCTGTCCAAGGAGAACTGCAGTGATTTCCACTAGAAGTCTATTTATTTATTGCTTAGAATGAAAGATTTTGGTAGAAGCGTAGCAATTGCTTTGGGTCTCTGCAGATAAATTCCAGAATATGCTCTGCAGGTTCATGCCTTGGTAAACAGTGTTGGTTAATTGAAAGTCTGAATCAAAAGAGTGAGGGGGGGTGTTGATTGTGAGGAACTGTCTGTTTTAAGAAGGACATGGAACTGTTGGAACAAGTTCAGAGGAGGCCACGAAGTTGCTGAGAGCACTGGAGCATCTCCCCTATGAGCACAGGCTGAGGGAGTTGGGGCTGTTCAGCCTGAGACGTGAAGATTGTATGGAGACCTCAGAGCAACTTCTCAATACCTGAATGGCCTACAAGGAGCCAGAGAGGGACTCTGTGTTAGGAACTGCAGTGACAGGACAAGGGGTAATGGATGCAAACTGAAGGGGAGGGAGAGTCTAGATTACATGTGAGGAAAAAGTTTTTCCCTGTGAGGGTGGTGAGACACTGGCTCAGGCTGCCCAGGGAGGCTGTGGCTGCCCCAACCCTGGCAGTGTTCACAGCCAGGTTGGATGAGCCTTGAGCAACTGCTCTGGTGGGAGGTGGCCCTGCCCAGGGCAGGGGGTTGGGACTTAGATGGTCTGTAAGGTTCATTCCAACCCTTAAATTCTGTGATGATTCTATGATGGATTTTGGGCTGAATTCACAGTATCTGAACCGTTTTGGGAGATGTGTTATGTGCAAAGGTGATCCAAGGGCTAAACTGAAGGGAGGAAGTCTTGAAATTACAATCATAGCATCACTTAGGTTGGAAAATACCTGTGAGATCATGGAGTTCAGTCCATTTTGTCTCTTTGAAGGTTTCTGCTGAGCATGACTTCTGGTGTGGTTTGTGCTCAGAACTGCCTTCCCGTGGGGCAGGGAGGGATTCTGCTCCGAGGTTAGCTTGGCTGAGGCAGGAGGAGTGTGGGGGTTTGGGTCTGAGGGCAGTTCAGCATCTCAGCAAATCCTGGGGTGGGTTTAACTTTCTGGGGCTGCAGTGTGGGTGTTGATATTTATTTAGCACTGGTAAATATTGCAGTTTATTTGTTACTGGTAGATAT